CCCCAAAACCCCAAAACCCCAAAACCCCATGAGGAATTATAATTGTCTATCGCAATCAATTAAATAAGCAATAAAATATATAAAATAAATCACAAAAAAGTAATGAGTTAGGGAGAAACAGCTTCCAAAGGCTATAAACCTCCATAAAAGATAGTTGATTTAGAGAAATCTATTATCAAACCTATTAAAATTAGTGCTAATGACGAATAATACGAAGAAAAGCAACCGGAGAATCATAAGAAAATAAAAATTAATAAAATTCATGTGGAAGGTAATTTACTACCATAATCTAAAAAGATTTATAGATAACATGGTTGAGGTTAGAACAAGATCTAAAAGTCCACCATAGAAAAGATCGCATTCATCGTTCCTTCACATACCAAGCAATCCTATAGTTATTCAAATGGCAAATCCATCATAAATTTATTAAAGATGGTAAAGTCCATAAAACTTAGCATAAATATTTTCTCCCATGAATCAGTTTCAAAATATTAAGGCTAATCAATTTTCTACATCCTTTGTCGTTAATCAGAACAAAGTAAGATTTAAAAAGATAATTATACATAGCAAGTAACTCAGTTCAGCATAACTAATAAAAAGCCTCCAAAACTAGGCTTTGCTTTTAAAGCAAGGAGTATTTATGTTGGGGAATAACAATATGCCAGCACCTAATTGTAAAAACTCAATGCTCTGATTGGAGGAAGTAGTACCGATGCCTCTACTTAAAATCTCAATTTCATTTCTAGCAATTTTCTCTCGCCAAACATCTAAGATCACTCTCAAAAGCCTAATCTGTTCAACGTAATATTTGATAATTCATAAATTTTAAATTCAGTCAAGTATGCAGTAAAAAAAACCTCCAAACATTCCATCACTGAAATCTAAAATACAGTAAGCTGCACTACAGGTCCCATCTCAAAGATCAAAAGTTTACCCTTACAAGCCTGTTATAGTTTAAAAGCGAAGTTCAAACTTATCAAGCTTTCACAAAGACAATCTGAGAAGCTCTGGGCAGGGCTAAGTGGGACATCAATAATAAAATTCAGATTCTGAACAATTAAAGCTTGGATTGATAAGAGCATAAACATTTGTCTCACATATGACTTAAAGTTTATAAACAATTGAGGACATAATTGACCCAAAAGACTAGTAGTAAATCATTAATTTTCGAATATAAGAGGAGAAGTAAGTGCAATCTGATTTTATAAATGCATAATCACCTTACATGCATCTTAAAATAACTGATTCGGATAATTAATCTGAAAATAGAGATCATCTAAGAAAAAGAGTTGTAAGAAATTTTTAAATTGTAATTTAGTTCATTTTTTTCTTAGATATTCAGCAGCTTAGATGAACTGGATAGCTGTGTAAGTGAAAACAACTATTTGAGGAGAATTCAGTTCAAAGGAAAACTGTCATATTAAGACTGGTTGCTGCATATGCAGACCCAGGTCCAATTATCTAAGTAAAAGCAAATTTGATTATCACAATCAGCGATTTGTTAGCTTAATGTCTAAGATTACTTAGTCTGTAAATAGTTCAATAAGTTTTTGGTTGATATCATATCTTGAGATAATTTTCTTGAATAAATTTATTAATACTTATTTACCCTTATCAATTTATGGCTCATGGGGTTTTGGGGTTTTGGGGTTTTGGGG